TTCCATTACAGGAAGAAACTTCTGATAAAATTCCGAACTGTCCTCACACAGCCAATATCTATCTCTTTGTCTCGTGGGCCGAAAGTGATTTCAGGAGCAACGAGACTAGGAAGACTATTGAACCAATTTGTTGGGTGGCTCGAACCACTGATAATTTTGTCCGAAACAACCAGGTGTCTGGAGCTTTTGGCATAAAACTAAGTGTAAATGTCAGGCCTAGCTCGATGACAAAAGGAGATAGTCATTCTGGACTGCAATGTGCTATCAAATCGAGTTGATTGGAGGGAAATAGAAATACAACTATCAACTGCATATTTTGAATTTCCAGAACTTGCTAGTACCAACGTGATGAGGATGTATGCTTGTAGTGTCTGAGAATGTATCAAAGCACCGTCACTGAATCTGGTGTTCCCGATGAGCTGGGTAATTTGATTGCAAATGTAAACTATTGAACTTCTTTTCAAGGTTTGTTGAGTGTCGTTTATTTTTCAAACAGCGTCCAGGAAATTTCAAGAATACGCCTGGGAATATCTCCTTTTAACAAACTGTGTGCAAATGAGGTTTGTACTTTTGTGTTTGACAGCGTTTTAAAATTGTAATTCGTGTTGCTCAATAACAACTCGGTGTCATAAGGCAGTCTTCCCTTAGCTGATGATATGCCGAATCGTTTTAATCTTGATGGACTTTTACTATCATCAACTGGCATAACTACAAAATAACGTGCGCCCATATGAAGTGGGAATCATCTTGTTAATGGGTCGGGTATCACATGATCTAACATCGCGGAATTCCGCCCCGCGTAAGGGCCTTGAGTTGTGATAATAGTTTCCGTAATGAAGTGTTCCCAATCTGCTTTTCGTCAAAATAAATGAGTAAGATTCCGTTAATCAAACTTCTAGCAACAGAAACCACGAAACCCATTGAAGCTGCTTACGCACATAAAACGTTGATCAAAGTGCAGTTGACATTATCTTGCGTATTAAAGTACTGCTTCTCATATGTATTTACCATCGCTTTGTCTCTGACATGAATCGTCTTTGACATTCACTTGAGTCACGCCGTCCCAACCAAAGCCTTTTAAGACCACCTTGTAAAGTTTGGGTTTCAGCAACTTCTTGGCACATTGTATGCATGAAATTTTCGAAAGATTTGGACGAAACCCTTTTACATGTTGCAGAAGATGCAAACTTTGAAATAGAAACCGGTTTTAGTACGCTTAAGAGCTCCCTTGGGAGAGAGCCGGTGTGCATTAACGACGAAGGAGAGGAAACAATTGGGAGTGGTCCATATTAGAAATCGCACTCAGTTGAGCAAAAGCGTCATTTAAAGGCGCCCTGTACCTATTATTTTTTCAATCTCTGAATGATTTGCCGCAACAAAAGTCGAGAACAGATATCGCCAATTTCATCCGATAGCAAACACAAAAAACGTGTGACATGAAGACACGACAATGTCATTTGGTTCCATTCACGTGGCTAGGAAGAAAATGGGCACACCTAGTTGACGGGTCCTAGTCAGCTTTTTTCTGGTAGTTGGTCCGTTCCATCCAGACTGCGAGACCATATCAGCTAAAGTATTCTTTTGTAGCAGGTTGCACTCACCGTGATATTTTTTTACCTCAACTATTTCAAATACGCAGCTTTGGATAAATGAGGCGAAAATCTAAACACTATTTTGAAGGGTCTTAGGCCCCCGTCAACCATGTGGATGATAAGTGTACTATTATGTGACCCAGTAGGACTTTGTAGCAGTTGATTTGGGCAGTTCCAACAGATCGTTTGATCGACACAGAACGACCCACAAGCTCACCTGAATGGACAAACCATAGCAAATAAGCTTATCGTTTTTAGTTAAACCGGCATTGCGATGACTTTTAAATGAACAAACCAAACAAGGAGCTTCAAAGCCATTTCTACGATATCGTTTAATTTCGTTACTAATATTTACGTGTCCGAAACGCCTTTAAAGAGCAAAGTAGGAAACAGGTTTTTATTTTCTGAAGGTACCACTGTGAGCTTCTAGGTACATTGCTGAGCAGTTTTAGGGACAAACACTACTGGATAGTTATTTTATGTATATTTGTCAGCTGGTCCGGTCATCGCATCATCTGAAGCTGGAACGAGTTCAGGAGGCTCGTGGTTAGACCCCAACCCGAGCATCTCGATTGCTTCTGTCTAGGTTTGGAGAGTGTAGTGCTATTTCAACCCTGGTGAATCTGCTAGGTGGCATAGCAGCTACGCATACGGTATGGTACAATAAAACAGTTATCACCCGATATGCTCACCACAGATCTAGAAGCAAGGTGCCTTACAAAGTTGCTTTCCCTCTTAAATGGTTCAAGTGATAAATCAAGCTTTCTTCTTCCATTATGAATCATTCGATTGAAGGAACTTGGAATAAGCTATCCATGTAAAACCGACAAAGCTGTTAAACCATTCTGGGTGAATTGGTTTAACAGTCCGGACAGAACCAGTCTGTCAGATCAAACAAGTGGCTGAGATTTGACTGCGAGAGTTCCATTTTTGCACGTAAACACTTGAGTGAGACCAGGTAACATTTCGTCTTTTCTCTTCATTCGTCCATGTGCCTATGTGTATTTGCCTCCGATTTTTCATGTGTGACCTCAATATACAACAGGCAAGAGATAATAAGTTTAAAACAACTTTTTAGCAACGAAACATCCCCTCTCCAGACTGTCAGAAAATGGCCGATTCTACACGTTCCAGTATGTCACAAAAATACGGCCGAAGTAGTCCTCTATGTTGAGGAAACACTTTCGATAAATGTACAGGTGTAAGTGGTCCGAGAGTGCTCACTTGTCTCCCCGCAGTCAAAACCCCTACTGCGAGCCTAAATTTCACTTGGCTGGGAGAATCTACGTCTGCGATTTGGTTGAAGTTAGGAAGCATACCCGTTTTAAACGGCAAAAAGTTGGGATTGAGAGAAAAATACTTGGAACGCGGACTATTTTATCGTGGAAGAATTACCTTTCGCGGCTGAGAACAGAATTCACACTTGGGATACAGCACTGCCGAACAGCTTCCACAGCCGTCGTGCAATACACCCACGATCCTTGGCGTATTTACTGGATTCCAATGCGCCTCATTTAGAGTGAACCATATGGTTCTCCGCCTTGAAATGGTGAGGCAACAGAGACAGAAAGACCACAGAAATAAAAAGCAACTAGGTGGATGTTGTCTACATACGCAAGCATTACACGGGAAGGGTTAAGAAAAAATATTGGAAAGAACACTGACAGGCACAATGACCGTCCTCACCTGACAATACTTGGGTGTCCACGAGAATTCAAATTTCCAAGCGGATTTCATCACCTGAGCTTAAGCCAAATACCAACTTGATTTACGTTTTCGATATATCCAAGTGTACTTCGTGGTCGGCTAGCGCAGTAAAGGTGCTAGCATTAGGGATCATAATACATCCAAACGATGAGTTGCACTCTGGACAAAACCACCATAAACGAGAGATTGAACTGAGTCTAGATGAGTTTCTCGTTCAAAACCAAAGTGGCATGCAAATGAGTGCAGTTCGCTAATTTCATGCAACTTGGGTTCAAGTAGAACATAATATTGACAGAAACTCGGGAAACGCGGCTGCCTGATGAGCCCCAAGAAAGATGTCGAACATTTTCCAGCAACCTTATGAGTAGTGTAATACGTCCAAAAAACAAAGTGTATTATTCGCTTCTCTTATCATTTTTTCTCTCCACGACTGGCGGTCGAATTTTTCCAGGGGTTGTGTCAAGTAATTCTATGAGTGACTGTATGTTCAGTTCACCCACCGTATCCGACGTGCTGAATGGTTGTGGTAATGCTCGGGACAGATCCAAATTTTACGCCACGATAAACACTGTACCGATTTAGAAAGTCATGCAACGATAGTATTAGTCTTTTTAGTTTTGTTTAGACAGGTAAATAATGGTCAGCGCTCGTCATACGATCTGTTACAAAACTGGCATACGCGTTCATTCGCGTTTTCTAGGAATTCTTTTGAAGCGGTCTTTGTCTGACAGCGATTTATAATGCTGGCTTTTTTACAATAACGGAACAGCTAGTTTTGCCTTTTATTTACATGGTCGGTCGCGAGAGTTCAAACACAAAGGATAGCAAATCAATCCTCCTTATATGCGGAGGTCATATCATTTGCGTGTAGGTGTTCCAGCTTGTGAACTGTCCATATTGCGGGGTTTCGTTTCAACACAAACGTTTGAGCGTTAATTCCCTGTGGGTCCGAACAAAAACAAACCATTGCTAAAAGTATTCGGCACCAGGCAATGTACTGTCCATTCAACTTGCCCGAGTTAGCAAATCTGTTTCGTTTTGACACTTTTCTGTACGAATGAATACATGTTTAGTGACAATGAACATACAAATCAAATAACGACCTTTGAAACAGGCGATTCTCATTCTAACATTAAATCCATCTAAAAAACTAGTATATGTTGTTGGCTAGTGGTTTGAAGAAAGCTACTTTTTTGGTACTCTCAACGTACCCTTTTTTAACCTGCGTAAGCTGAGACTCCGTTGAATCCAGTTGGATTACACCTATGACAACCGGTGCGACAGCGAAACCCGAGGGTAAAGAAATCCAGAATTGCTTTCTGTTTCCATTGTATGTCATGGTGTTGTCTCTCACATTTATGTAGGCCAGCTTACTTTTTTTCAAAGTGGCCGGATCTGGCGTGCTTGTGGGCGAAATACAACCATCGGGTGTCTGTAGACTGAAAAGAAATGGAAATACGTGTAGTGAACATGGATGGTTTGCTGTTTTGTTGAGATATTTCGCAGTGGTTATTAACCACCACTCTCATTAGCCTTCAGACGCAAACCTACGTAGCTAAAAATTCACCTCCAATGGAATAAAGCACGTACTCATTGGAATACTCATATACTGCGCGTGACTTCACAGTGAATAGTTTGACAACATCACGCTTACTGGTAGGTTTACCTTGATTCATCATCCGTCATTCACTAAAAAATTAGTTAGGAGGGTAGCACTAATGGTATTGATGAGCGCCCTGCATCATCATCACCATCATCATCATTATCATCATTATCCTCATCATCATCATCATCACCATTATCCTCATCACCATCATCATCATCATCATAACATAATTTATTGCTAGCGGCTGGATGTTTGGCCATCCCATTGAAATGTAGTTTATTGCTTTCAAAAAATACCTAATTTCAAATGGAGAAACAAGTGGACAGGAAAGAAACATGAGGTAGTCTACCGCAATCATTTTGAAGTGCCTCCATTTCACAACACTCAATTGAAGAGGTCGGACTCTAGCTAACATCTCTCTTGTCGGTTAACCACCACGCCATTCGAAGCTGTAAGCCAAGCATACAGAACCTGGAAGGTGAAACGCATCATATATACTCTAATTCTTACTAAATTCTTCCATCATCTCCCACTAGGTCAGGTGTTCAACCACCACCGCCATTCTGAAGGAGGCGCAGTGAAACACTCTTGTCTTGGGTGACCGATTAATGTGCATAGCGCATGAAGGAGTAATGTTCATCATGACTAAAGCAATCACGCCCTAGGTCGTAAGCCCGAACCAGCTCCGCTTCGAACTGTACCATAGCATGACACTTACTGCAACCTAGCGCACGCAAACCTTGAGAACCAGTTCCGAACGTAACGGGACTATATAACAGCCAATGGAATAACCGTTTTCGTTGAGACAGATTTCGTTGGTTGTTCTTCACTTGCCCTTGACAGATGAGTTGTATTCTTCGTATATTTTTTACCCGCTTGTACGCAGGAATGATCAATAGATCAGCCGGTTTGCACGTTCGTTGTCGTTTTCTGATTCGGTCAAGCGCATCAGGCGATCAAGCGGCTATCCAGACCGGGGTTCACGGTAATAAGAAGGCATTAAGGAGACTGTGGTCCACAACACCTTTTTACCCTTATATGCAGAGCGAAAATAAGGACTCCAAGATTCGTTCACTGACAAGGAAGTGAGAAGTGCTTGCTGGAAAACCACACATGTTGAAGCATGACACTACTTTTCGGCGACACATCTCGTACTTAGGGACAATATGAACGTTTTTATTTTTCCCATGAATTGAGGCACTGTTGTTTGCATTCTCCACATCCATGTGGCTGACACAAGAAGCAATCTGAACTCCCGTTGTCAAACTCAGCAGACAACTGAGAACGAGGCTGAGCAGGGATAAAGAGAAAGGGGATCTTGGTCGAGCACCACTTTTGTACGGGAATAGCGCTCCCCACTCATTAAATCATAGAAAGAATTGCATGAACATCAGGAAAGGATTTTATCTGGAGTATCTCTTATTGAACCAGTATACCTCGATGAACTGACAGATCGCCTGAAAACGTGTGCCTATTAAAGGATTAATCAGACTGTAGTGGGTGTTTGCTTTCATGCTTTTTAAGAAAAAAGAACGTTTCAGCCGTAAATCCTTTCGGTGCCTAGCTGCCATGCCATCAGAATGAAGCACAAGGGCTGGGACACTGCCAGGTTGCCCAAGCCTAGACTGGGGACGCCGAGAGGCAGATGTCGGGTTCGAACCATGGATCTTCCGGTCAGTAAATTCGCGCTCTAACCATTTGGACCATGTCGTCCCCCATTACAGAGAGGAAACTGTTTTTTCTTCTCCATCCATTCACGGCGACATTCGTATAGTAGAAGACCATTTAATCGCTATAACAAAACGTTTAAACAAAAATGCAAATACCCCCATGATAGTCCCACAAATCACTTTCGATTTATGGATACAATGGAAAATCTATGATGGGCTTTCCAGTATTACCCTCCTAAACGATATTTCGTACGTTAGCTCGTGAATAATTACTCATTCGCAAGTCACGCGGTCAAACATAAATGCTAGGTTCACATAATCCGTTTCACATCTTAGCTGCGGATTTACTCAGTCACTATGTAAAGCCGAGGTGAATCCTGGTTCGAAAAAAAGCCTGTTGTGCCTTTAGTGTTTCTGTTTTGAAAGTGTCCCCGCTACTACGGAATAAAAATGCCCTGAGGCTTAGCGAAGTACCATCCGTTGGCATTAACGTGAGTTAACTTCAAAAAGGAATAATTGACTAGCTCATCGGTCACGAAATTTTGTGGATTCTAAAACTAAACTAGCAATTTTAAACATAGCTCAGTTTGTTGTTAGGTACTTTCAGAGCTGGTGTGCATAAAACACTTTCATTCAACAGCTCTTGCTTCTTATCTACATTCCACAGATCTCAAAAAGTTGAAATCAGTCAAAATCTCCTGCTGTTTCGAGAAAGAGCTGCATAGTAACAGGCATACAGTGAATAGACTGGAGTTTTTCAATGTGTAATATACTTGTATGATCGATACTCCTTCTCCTGACTAAACAACAACTTATATAAAATCTAAGGACACTGACTTTTCTGCAGGAGAGTCTTTACGGTCACAATCACCCACCTGGTCTATGTTCTGACTGGTCCATTAGGTCAAAAACCATATGAGTGGCTGTATTTTATTGTCCTCTACATCCATACTTAAAGTATATGGAAGCATACTTGAATGTATCTCCAAAGAAGAAAACTAAGGACATGCTATAGATTTCCACTTAAGTCCGGTGATTAGGTTATTCTGCGACAAATACTGAGGTGTGTGGGTTGTACTTTTGCACCGCACTTTTCTAAAATAGCGTGTCACACATAAAAATGTATGACTTCTAGAACACGGAACCATTGGTTATTGCAGGCCGGCTTGTGAACCTTCTCTCAGTTAAGGACGACAGTTATACGTCCCAGATATCAGAGTAACTGTCAGAATTCCAAACAGGATTGGTTTAACGACAGATTTTGAACCCAGTCCTATCAATGTTCTTGTTTTCATACACATGAGGGAGCCCATCTGTCCCTCATTGGGACCGATCAGAAGTAATAGTCTCCATGGGGGTGGGGTTGATAGAATTTTATAGGGAAATAACCACAACAGATTAGACATCCAACCACAGACGGTCTTTATTCCGACGGGGAACCATTTCACATATGATCCAAATAAATCGGGACTAAATCTACAAAGTAACGCGCTTCCACTTAGAACTGACTACGTTGTCACCATGCATATCCGTTTTCTCACAAAGAGTACATTGAGTCAGCGAATATACACTCATTTGCAAACTAATTTGGTTCTTTCGAGAGACTCACCTGGAACCCAGCTGAATCTCTCGTTTATGATGTTCTCAGGCAACTGAATGTGCTGCATCAGGCCGCCTCATGTTTCAGTCGCTACGATATTTGAAATATCGCGATACATGTATATCTTTGTAATGTACTACTCATAACGTTACTGAAAATCCATCGGTCGTGGGCTGTCGATGGACTTTCAGCAACCTAATGAGTAGTACATTGCAAAGAAGTACATTGAGTCTTTGCATGAAAATCTGCACATGAAAAGGTAATAAAATACTTCCACCATCAGATGTAAGTGTAAAGGGAAAGATCAGCGATCTCGCGTATTCTACCGTGGTCTGTTTATGTGTTGAGGAATACGGTTTCATGTAGGGTTTAGTGCTAATCACAAGAAACCACTCAAGTAACCTGTGTTCAGACAGAAAAGGTTTGGGTATTTACATGTTACTTTTTATCCCTCAGGATCATCCTAAGCGAGATGTTTTCGGGACTAGGCATATTGCCAGCCTGGATTTAACTAGGGTCCTCTAAGCCACTGATTTGAAGTGAACCTTTGGATTCCACGAGACTAAGCTATCTGTTAATCGACTGCATGAGATGACGTTCCGCTTTGACGTCTCGTTCACAAGCCCCACTGCACTAATTTTGAGCGCAGTTTAAAGTACTTTTCCATCCTGCCTGTTTGAAAAAAAAACAATCTTTCGAAGTTTGGTTGTTGGCCTGTTCGCCGAGATTGGCAGTTGGATGCAATCAAGCAACGCACTCGAGTTACCTACATTCTACAACAACATTTCGAAGTCTATATTTCAGCTACATTGTATTCCTCCCCAAAGTTACACCTGATATCTGCCAGTCACAGCAAGATTTCACTGAAATGGTGGGACTCTGGTGACCGTCTAATCCCCAGGAATGATGCACTATTTGTGCCTCTACTTTCGTGGTCCGACGAAGAATACACACACCATGAATTTATTTCGCGGACTTTAGGAAGTAATGAGAGAGTTCCGCATTTGTTAAACTCCGATTCCAAAAGTAGTGAGTTGTTGAAACGGAATTTGAAGGATCAGTGTTCTAGGCCATGCTGCTTAAGTACGACAAAACAGACAGGAAACTTTTCGCGTCGAAGGGCAACCACTGTTCCATCAAACTTGTTATATGTTCACTGGCTTCTAAAAGTTATTGAATTGCCGCACACTCTCCTAATCCCGACTGATTTGGGCACTTCAGGTGTCACGTGTTTCAAATCAGAAACCTTTTAATACCGAAAGTACATAGAAAGGGATATTTGTTTGACCAATTCGAAAGGTGGTGAGCTTCTATGTTTGTCAGCATTCGGTTGAATACAATGGCACCAAATAATTGGTTCTCAACAGAAACTGTCGCTTTTTCTGTTTTAATTGTAATTAATGTCGTGGACATGGCATGGATTGAATGCTTACCAAAATCGTCCGTGATGGCCGCGAAAATATATAAATATCGGGCCGAATGCTCGCAACTCTAGAGATTTCCCGATAAATCTCAGAAAAAATAAATTCATTCACGTTGTTTTGATGTACACTGGTCAAGATTTGGTTTCATTCCCTCAGCGGAATATATTTTGAAGTTGCTCGTCAGTGTCACTTAGCTGAGAAACTATTACACTTAATTATCAGACGGTTGCTTAAGTAGTATATTACTCTAGCTAGTGCTCTACATTCATTTGAATTGACTGTTTATTAGCCCGCTGTGGTGGATGAAAACATAACTAAACTTTTCCGCCCCTAATTTGAGCTCGTTATCACCACCATGTACTCACAGAGAGTTGGGTTTCTTTTGCCAGGGATTTGTTTTGCAGAAACAACAAATTTTTCGAAATCTGCTGTGGACCATCAAGAAACTAATGAGTGGATTTCAACATTTCGTATTCCTATTCGTATTTCATATTCTCATTTCGTATTCGAAAACTTGCACGGTCTACACTACCACTTGCAACCATTTAGATAAAATTCATTTGCTCCTCCTAGTCAGTGAGCCCACATTTGGTTAGTTATAATCAGAACTCTCGAACAAGTAGTGAAGCATGTTATACCGGCAGTATGCAGAATTCGACCGCCACATCCATTTGGTGTCCCATTTAGAGTACAGTGGTTACAATCCTGTGGAACGGAACATGCTACTTTCGATGGTCCAGCTAGTTAGTATGTTGATAAAACCATCGATACTTGATCCTCGCTTAACATTGTCGTTCAACACCCACTGCGGCAGCAATGCGGATCATTTCAGATACAACCACAAACGGCCACCATGTCTCGCGACAGGGTCGTATTAATATAAGTTAACCATATTCAGGATACAATACTCTTATCCTGAGCTCGATGGCGTTTCCTGATGCCTTGTCCTAGAATGGGTCATCCAGATGTGGTCCTTTCTATAGAGCAAAATGATGGTTGCTCAAGTAGCGTAGATGGTCGTTAGTTTGTTCGCTGAGCTGGGCACAACCACTAACCAGCCGCTGCGCACCACTACGCTCCCCAGTAACGCACTGATGATGTCACCTAGATTGGTGATGAAACGTTTGCAACCAAATTGCCAGGCTCAGCGAACAAGTCAACGGCCAGATGTAGTCTTTTAAACGGAGGTTTACTCAGAAGACCACATTGTGAGTCAGTCACGTTGATTGGGATTCGTTTGTGAACACACGAGTACAGTGTATCACAAAACAAAAGTTTAACTATACAAGTATCCTTAAATTGGAAACGACTCTATGACGGAAGACAGCTGTACAAATACTCCCCTCCACACATCACCCTCATCTTCCCAAGTCGATTCATCAAGTGCACCGGGATGAGTTTCACTCAACCTCGTCGTTCATCATGTGCCGAGATGTTTCTAAAGCATTTTATCATTATGTTATTCTTACTAAATAGAACAAGACTGTTTCAGCTTATAGAAAAAGTTCACTCTGTGCGGGGTTCGTGAGGTGTACTAAAAATCACCAGCGTCTATTGGCATCTGAATCAAAGCGGCAGTGTTACACACCGATAATAGTGCTGATACATTGGTCACCTCAACAAATGCCTAAGATCCAAGCATACTCAGCGATCACAAGAGATCACTTTAGAAGAACGAATTACCTCACCTTTTTTGTAGGACTGTAGCTAACTGGGGGCTCAAAAACAAAGTCTGGTTGATAGTTGAGCTACTAAAAGCTGTTAACCTGAAATTTTGCACTCAGCTCAATCCTGATTTAACGCTTTTGGGCTTTTCAGTCCGCCACATAGAAAAGAAACGATATTAAACGTAAAAATTAGTCTTGTCAACTCTCATAAGATTCTGTTGTTCGGTATTAAGCGGGAAAACTCTATCGCCAGAGCAACACAAAAAAGACGCTTACTCCCGATAAATAATCCTCATAGTCTTGACAGATGGTTCGGTTTCCCAGCATAACTGAATCTTGTTATCGGAAGGGCATAATCGAAATCGTGCAAGGTTCCTTTCTGTATCAACTGAAAACAAAGGTGGATGGAATGTGAAGTGCTACAGAAGACCTTGGCTAGTACATAGTTAAGACGTCTTTACTCTACTTTTAGTCGGGTGCCTGCTTGTCCGATTAAAAATAAAATGTCGTACATGTCATGTGATATGGAGCTTTCGTTTGACCATGTTGCGGCTGACCATGTTGTTGAGATAGCCGCTAGTATTGTCCACTACAACAAGCGTTTTAGAGCACAGTACACCTGTTTCACTCCAACGTCCCCCTTGAAATGGGTCGTATTAAAATAACCTGCATGCATATATCCGTTGTCGAAAGCTCTTCCGGCCGTGTTCTTCTCAATGAAACTCGTCGAGCACCCGTTTACTTCTATTTCTTTCTATGGTGCCATCAGTAAATACCAATCTTTCTCTGGCTGATGAGAAACAACTTAAGTGTGCTTCGGTTGTCATGGCACAAATCAATGTTCACTGGTATACACACAACATCAACACTTGCAACGAGCCAACCGATCTCCCGATCAGTTGCACATCGAGGAAGTATAAGTTACTTTCACTCTCAGCTTTGTCAGTAAAACTGATTGACGAATCAGCCTCATTGAATTTGCTGAAGTTGGCCGCGGGATGTGTAGAATTCACGTTCACACCACTCCCGTTTGAACAGTTTTCCTCGTGTCCGGCGCAGTTATTCGGGTGGGTCTGCACCAAAGGGAGAGGGAACGGGACTGGATTTTCTCACTTCTTAGAGCTCATGAGCAGTGTCTGTCCCTGGCCGTGTATGGGTTTGGACTCTAGACATCCGGTAGGCATGGCTGCGAAACCACACCTTTATCAGGAATGTTTGGAGTTCAAGGCTATGCACAGCTATGCACCGCTCATTAGCTTCGATAAGAGCGAAACCGCAGTTCAGCGCTTCTGCTCATTCGGAGAGTGTTCAACAAAATGTTTGCGCCAGAGCGATGGGAGGATTGTTCAAAAGAGATTGACGTGAACGCGAACTTTCTTACATTGTTCTGTGGGTGATGTGATATCTTGCACTATCGTCAAAATATGTTATCTGTATTAGGTTAGTCAGACCCGTTTAACCTGACGGCTTCCTGGCTTTTCCATGGATGTCAGCCGGCTGAGACTTCATTGCTACTTCAACAATCTGGCGCCAGAATTCCTCATCGCATCTGAACTGTAAAATGTAAGTACAACTCAGTACGAGTTCTTTTGGACGCCCAGTTGGTAAAGCCACTTGTGTATCGGAATTCCTCTCCGTACAGAGGATTAACGGATCCTCTGAATCAAGAGGAAGCATCAAAAGAGCACAAATGATTTGATTTATCTGGATGCCAAGTTTGTTCTACAAATTCCTTAATTTCCTGAGGAAAACTTATTCTACCATGCTAGTTGGCCGTCTGGGATTTGTACGAAATGCGGAGTTACACATATCTAAGATAGGGCCTGAACTACTGCTCTGGTTGTGTACGTTGAGAAGCCCGTCTATCATTAAACTAAGGAGTCAAGTAATTTCTAACCTTATGGACGTCTTTGTTGTAATGAATCGCTTCTGGTCGTTTTCAGATATTTTGGTTCCTGCTTCTCTATCAGCGCTGTTTTGCCTTTAATATCTTGACCCTTACAAGACCTGTGTTTGTTGCCCGGTATCGATTGCATTTTATGGATATCTTATGGTTGCATCTTAATTTCTTCAGAGCTTCAGGGTGTTGACTACTGACTACCGCTGCTCAGGCAATGATATACAGCAGCCTGGAGATATCTGAATAACCTCACTTAAAATGTTCTAAGTAGTACTTCGGGTTTTTTTGAAAAGTTACTGAGCAGTGTCCGCGATAACAGACTCGTGGTATGTTCGAATACGAGTGAAACATTCACGCAACTATAAGAATGAGGCTATGAAGCCTGAATACATCTGAACAGTTGATGATGGAACATGAGTAAAAACGATTTGAATGGCTGTGAAGTAATCGTTATTTTTCGCGGATTAAGACCTGGCCTCAATGCTTATTTGATTCACTGAAACGTTTTATTCATCTGTATGTAATATTTCCCATAAAATGTACTTCCCAAATAATACTAACCCCAATTATGAATCAGTTTACTCAATCTCTTAGTTTATTATACAAATGTAACACGGTGTTCTAGCAAACAATCTCTAATGCCAAAATGCTCCTCAAACGAAAAAGACTCCAGGTTGATAGGTTACGTACAAGACCCATTTTACACCATTCCCAACAATGGTGCTGTGAAACATAATTTTTATGCAAATGTTAAGAGCCGTTCTCCTCAAGGTGGGATGGAATCTTCCCCTACTTTGATATTCAGTGTCCTTTCAAACCGATACTCAGAGCCAACTGACAAACAAACTGAGCCGGTATTATGCTTACCAGCAACCGTCGTCTAATGCACCTAGAAACGGTTTTTGTAGTTGATGGAATTTGAATAACGGACGAGGGATACTTTTTGGAAAAAAAGCACTGGAAACACATGTGATCCCTAAAAATCACAGCCTGTCGAATACCCGATGAAGTTTACCCAGAAGAACTACCCAAAATCAATTTGAGGAATATAATCACTATACATGTTTCAAGAGAAAAGCCTACTTACTCTGGTAAACACCAGCAGCTGTTCTCAATTCAGAGCAAAATATATAATTTAGGATATTATTTCATACTGTAACGAACGTATGGGTATGCTTAGGATTCACTCACAATCCGCAGACTGTTCTAGGAATAGAGACAAATAACTTCTTTTTCCACATTTCAATCGACCCTTACTTTCTCATTTCCTTCTGTTTGTTGTTTTTTTCTGCGTTTTACAATTGTCTGTTTAGTAGAAACCTTTCTGAAAGCATATGGTTCATCAGCCACTTCTGACTTAACGTAACACACTTAGTAAAATTTTGATAACATTTACTTCACATACATCATCGATAGTCCCAGTCTATAAAGTGTACTAGTTTCCCCAGTTCGCCGCCTTTTGGTAGAATAATTCCGAGGTGTTTCTGGATAACCACAAAAGTCCTTGTACCAAAAAAAGCAGCTCAAACACCAACCGTCTATCTGAAATGGTTCGATGGGTGACTCGAGTTCCACTTAATGAAGATAAGACACTTGGTTATCTATTCATCGTCCCAGGTCAATGAAATTCCACTTCCACCATATTCTTTAAACCTCGGCCAATTTCTTTTGTTTTTCTAGTCTAAGAAACCTTGGAGGTGCCTCTCACGTTCCGCCTTCTCTTGCGTGATCCGGAGGCCAACGGTAGGATAATACATTATTGCTCAAACTAGTGGACTTGTCCTTCGCGCTTACCCCTTTTAAACAAAATCTCAGGATTGACTATACTGCTGAATGTGTTTCTAGGTTGGTTTGATGGAAAATGCTACACTATGACACCTCGATGGTTTGCTGTTACTTAAGCGTTAAGTTGAGAAGTTAACTGGCAAAGTTTTGGTGGGTAATAATCTTAAAATAAATTCAAATGGTTCGGTTCACACAAGCTTCACTGTTTCCATAAACCTCAAAGAACATACAGGGCCTGAGATGCCGCAAAGTTGCTAGATCTGGAAAACAGCAACAGCAAATTTGAGGACGGATTCCAAACACAAACAATTTAGTCAGTCTGAAACCAGAGAATCAATTCCAACACTTTCTTTCCAGTAGAACTTTAAATTGCCAACCGGATTCCACAGCCAGTGGGTGAACACACGCAAGCGACATAATTAAATAACCTGTGAGATGCTTAGGACCAGAATGAAGCAATAATTTGGTGAATATAACTTTCCTGCAGCTGTAATTAAGTAGTGTGGTAATCTAATCAAACCGGGTAGAACTTTAAATTGCCAACCGGATTCCACAGCCAGTGGGTGAACACACGCAAGCGACATAATTAAATAACCTGTGAGATGCTTAGGACCAGAATGAAGCAATAATTTGGTGAATATAACTTTCCTGCAGCTGTAATTAAGTAGTGTGGTAATTTAATCAAACCGTTTTAGGTATTTGGTACTATTTGGCACTTACCGATCGGAATTGTACATTCGACTCTATCCGATTTTGAAGAACCCAAGGAGATCCAGCAACTCACATTGTAAACTTCACCAGTAGTGAGTGAATCCCAAGTTAATCTCTCTGAGTCCGGATCACTTTGTGATTCGGTGAAGCCTGACCCAGTGAATCCTATTGCTTTCACCACCCCTTCGAACTCCGCGTCAGGATCAATTTCGTCGCGGACGCATTCCATCTTGTTTTGGTTGACCTCTATTCGCACCAAATCAGTTGTGTTTCTACACCCGTACATTTCGGAATTGCCAACATCAAATGACAAAAGAAATGTGAGTCCAGTCACAAAGTGATGAAAAATTGTCTCTTTCATATTTGCATCGAGGATCTGGAAGACGTAAAACTAAACATTATAAAAGCAATAAAGTGAAACGATGGGTCAAAGGCTATGAACCTGGCCAGCATATTGCTATATTATTTCAGGTAGCCACATGCTTGCATAGCAAATGCCACAGTTGCAGTTTTGCAAACATCGGTTAAAATCGGGCCTTCGAAAGAACGCCCTGAAACTGTTTTATGTTGCTACTGAAAGGCTACAGCAGAACAAGAACAATTTTGGAATTCCACAAATTCAGTGTAATAGCTGGGTCAACGAACCTACTCATCACTATTATTGTAGCGAGATGTCGATGTGGGACTTATCTCTCACTGAGGCTCCTCCTGAAATTTTGCACACACTAGACAGTGCAAAGCTTCAGTAATACAGGGAAACTACCACTTTGACCACGGTAAAATTACTGCTTATTAAAGTAAATCATATTATGATTACCAGTCCAGTCGATTTTGAGCCCACATACTCTACGCAGCTCCCGGATTTTAGTACAAGACCCACTTCCAAAAATATAAACTTTAATGCCTCCCGGTTGAGAACCATTCGCACGAATTCTTGTAGACCAAAGATTTAAGCGGTACTTTAAATCAAACACCCAAAATGTATCCACATAAATAAAGGTCCGTACGCGTTGGAACTGAGGTACATGTGTTGCCTTCCCTTCGCTTTAATTATGCAACAAGTGAAACTCAAAGGGTGAAATATATCGCTTTTTCCGTCCATAGTGATTGGGTTGAAAACAAATATGAGCTTGAATGTCATTCAACAGCAGCAAACGTCACTAAACATGGTTGGTAGCAGTGCAGGTAAAAAACTTCGAACGTACTAGCACGGGAAACACAAATCCGAAAAACTGAGCTCCTACAGTAAGTCAGTGCACCAAGAATTGTAGACCAGTGTTTGGATCCATTTGGATCCAGGATCATTTGCTTGTAGTTCTTCTCGTAAGTCTTGTTTTAAAGCCTATTGAGCTTATTGTACATGTGCAGTTCACAGTTGAACTAAAACGTTTGCAAAGGAGTCACAAGGGGAAAGGAAATCCATGCATGTTTGTCGTGTTCACTTGCGCCCCAACCGAATGTAGCTTCGACGCCATCAAAGACAAGCTTTTAGACGCCTTGAGTACCCTGTTGCGGCAGGCTAAAATCTCAGATATCGCAGTGGTTGCCGGAGATCTGAATACGCAAGTGGGCAGGCCTAGCGCACCCCAGACTCACTCGAGACGATCAATATAGACTGGACTTGGTACGTATGGACAGTGGTTAACGACTGCCTCAACTGCGCGCCGACCGCTGGCCAAAGTAATCTGCTCACACGGTGTTCAACAACGGCTGCCGGCCACAAACTCAGTCGATCACACTGCCATCAGCTGCCGATGGCGTGGATCAATAACTGACTTCCAGTCATTCTGGAGCAAATTTGTGGATTCTTACCAAGCACTGTTCCGGAGTCGCTTTTCCCTTTGTTTTCCAGGACCATGTGAATTGCGAAAAAATCGTCTGGCAAATAAAAGACTCGCAGATCTAGATGTTATACGAGTCTTCCAGAATTGGCATTAAGAAGCCCTACGACCGCTTCAGTATCACATGTAAATTTGTACTGAGAAGAGGTTGCCACCGCTTCGCTGAGTTTTTGCTTGTGAAACGGCACTACCAGGCTCACCCAAGCACCGAATATCAAGCCGAGAAGCGGCACTGCCTGAATCTCGGGGAAATATCCCATCCGGTGCCAAATATAACTTGACGCGACCAGTTGTCAGGCTTCAAGTTAAAGGGAAAATGTGAACCGACCGTTTGGTAGGACTTGACATGTTTGACCAGCAGAGGTGCGAGTTCTTTGGGTCTGTGACAACCGTTGTCTCAGAACCATAGTTCGTGTGGATTGGTGTCAGCAAGTCCTTAACGAGGAAATTAGAAACCGAGTTTCGAGTGTTCGTTTGTGCAATCAGTACTTTAAGTGGAGGATGTGTGCAGCACCAAAAGCTGTGTTCGTCAGGTTATGAATTGTGCATACTGAACCATCGTTCGCTGAAGGAAGTGCTGCTCTCTGTACCAAATTTTCAGAGTGATTGAAGCGGAGAGTTTGCCATCGCTTGACCTGGCAGATGGGATGAGAGAGATGACGAAAGGTTTGGGTGATGATATTGTTACTTGCCTTTCAGGATGAGGATCGCGTGATCCCCCTGAGCGTGGTTGAATACTCTACAAGTATTGGCTGCTAATAGATGTCAGTGGCGTTCTTAATGTCAGTTTCTATCCAGATTGTCCGAATGAATATCTGGAAGTGTAGGCACCTTGAACTGATTGAAATAAGGTAGCAATAAATCCATTCCCTGTCAACCTTTTTCCTTTTCTATCACCAAAGGCCTCCAAATAAATCATAGTTGTACGGCAGCGTAACATCAGTGCCGAATTCTGATGTCTTGCTGTCCATGGTAATGATGATGATTGAGCTAATTTGTTTGTTTCATATTCATAGTGTTTTCCTCAATTCAGGCTTGCTCACCATCGCCTGTGGTGGCAGTGAAAAGCCCTTCGGAGAAATTTGAAGGACTGGAAGGACGGGAACTGGAGCTCAATGTTTTGAGCACACTAGGTGCTAAAGTGTTGACTGTTGTTGGAGTTTCTTCCCATTCTTCCTTGTTAGTCCTTGAGTTTTGTCCCTATTAACTGTGCCAATGATTACAGCTGCATGTTTAGAATTTTAGGTGTTTTACAACCTGTTTTGTGCGTACTACTAAAAGGCTGTATGTGTGAATTGGTATAGTATCCCTGTCCACCATTTGAAGCGTTTTAAAATAACAACCATTTTCCACTGATTGCTAATTATCGACTGGGCAAGCAGAGAAATTAACAAACATGCAACTGATAAGTTGGAGAATTACAACGACAGTCCCGGCAGGGCTGATAAATCCTCGGAAATGACCCAGAAAGTAGTGGAGGCTCGTGATTCAAAACGGGGTCTCTTTAGCTTTCTCCGGGGTAGAATCGGAATTTCTCAGCAAATTAATACGGTTTTATTTATTCCTGTTATGTCTGAATAGTTATTGGATGAATGCCTGTTCTCCTTCTAAACAGCACTTGTTAAAACCTAATAGATAGTTTTACCCAGTTTTCTGCTCACCACATCTGAGTAAGATTTGTATGTGTCAGCAAAACTTTGAGGGAAGAATGTCCTCCCGTGACACACCGGAATTAGTGCTCTATTCGGAAACAGCTTGATAACAACTGCCTTACAGCACCCTCGAATTTGGAATTTGAGGTGAGAAAATATAAACTGGTCAGGGCTGCACTCAAGCTAGGTGCTGATGATCCCTTCGTTCGTTGTCTGGTATACGACATGGAATGTGTGAACTACTAGCACATTGAAGAATTTAACCTGTAAACCAATGACTAGATCGGCTTACTATGGTTAGATAAACGTTTCCGTGTCGCAGTGTCCTGCTTAAAATATGGAGCTCAATGGTGGTTCATCACACACATGCCTCACACACCAACATTCGTGCATCATGGCGGGCTTCAAATCGCACTCGCCAAGATAGTTCGGTGTGTGTCATCATAGCTATCTGTACAGCCGTGGAAGGAACTCCAGATGGATTGCCATTTTACAGGATGAGTTTTAAAGTGTGTTTTTGTTCCATGTCCCATTTGGCTTTCATAGCCGCGGAGCCGCCTTCCTTTCCTCGCCCTATCCTGTGCATCCGAGTAACTCAAACACTGATGGCAACGATATTCGGAGTTTAACTGGGCCGGTCGGAGAAGCCGTGTCGAAGGAAACAAGGTATGGTAGAGTCTTCATAGTTTCGTTCCCTAAGTTGGACTGAAAAAGAATGCTGAGTTTTCATGCCGCCGTTGCTTGCACAGTAAAACACCATTTGAAGGGTTACCGTCAGTTGGCGATGAAACAAAAATCAGCCAAAAGATCGGTTCTGCTCCAAACGAGTCGCACCACGGGTGAGGTACCTGTGTCGTACTACCTGCGTTTCTGAGTTAATTCATCCAGCTAAATAGGTCAGATCAGTGTGTTATAAGCCGCGGGAATGATCCTACAAGGTAATCACACAGCGCTCCACGAAGTTTCACGTCAGGTTTCTAATCAGACTCAAGGCGGATCACTTCCGATAAACTCCCTTGTCTGGCTTGAGCAACATCGAGTGATCGTTTGCCCGCACAGTTCTTTGTCCATGCCCGCCCCTCTCCAGCTTCTCACCAAACAAGCAAACACAACCGGATCACCTGATTGCCAGGTATCTCGAGTCTAAGTCCATGTTCGTCTCCCAGTCGTGTGCTGGGAGACATTACAGCATTACAGGACTCCAGGCTAGATGTACGCACCGCGTTAACTGGCAGCCAGTTAGTGCAAACCAACAATATCTCCCATAAGACAAACTGACCATCGTTCCCCGATTAATACCGCTCTGAGCGCTTTCTTTAGGCTGATAAAAACACTGGGTGCTCATATCTACTAATCATTCGACCGCTTGTCGCAAATCTGACGTTAAATAAAAACCTAGTTAAGACGGTTCCAGTGATAGTTTCCACATGCTGTTGACAGTTATTTATGGCTGAGCATAACTTATTTTGCACATGGAAAAACTTCTGACCTGGAATGTCGCCGTTAGTTCTGACTTTTTGCTACATTTATGGTCACTCTGTTTGTGAATTTCGAAACAATAGGCAACTAAAGACTATTCGGTTATAAATAAGCCAGTCTTGCATCCATCTAGTTTAGCTGTAATAGCACAGTTTTCTTGCTTTCTATAAGGTATGAGATTACACTCCGTTAAACTCACGCGTTGAATTACTTTAGCTCAACTTCTGTGAAAACAGTTTTCTTAGCTGTACTTTCTTCACGTAGTGCGTTCAATGTCTCGCTGGTTTCCTGACTCAATTACTTTGTCTTAGCAAAATTGGATCTTGACTGGCTTGCATTAGGCATACCGTTCGTTTAAATTCTTTTCATCAACTCCGGTTTTAATCCCACCTCTGTGGGGTAGCAACGAAGTTTTAGTCGGGAACTTTGAAACTCACAAACTTCTTGGCATGCTAGAGAATTCTGGGGATTTATGTAACCTTAATTTGATGTCGCGTAATCTATCGCTTGCTGGATACTGTACGCCGTACAAGCTTTGTCCAAGGATGCACAGCAAGCGTAGAGCACA